TTCTTCAGGATGTACTGAAACCTGAAGTATACAATCATTTTGCCATGTTTGTAAAGGGTGTTGCACTATTGAATTCTTCTAGCATAAGTCCTGAGGATATAACATCTGCTGGTAGCCTCTTGGAACAGTTTGTAAAAGACTTTGAGAATATTTATGGTGTTGACAATGTGTCACACAATGTTCATATGTGTTTACACTTGCACCAATCAGTTCAACTTCTTGGCCCCTTATGGGCTGTAAGTTGCTTCCAGTTTGAGGACATGAATGGCAGACTGAAAAATTTAGTCCATGGTACACGCCATGTTGGACTGCAAATACATTCTAGATTAGCTCTAATTACTCACCTACCTCTAATGGTCCGCAAATTAGGAGAGGGCCCAGCAAAGCAATTTTGTGAAAACCTCAAAAAAAAGTACAGGTTGAAAGTTGTTGATGTAATTTCCCCCGGTGTTTATTGTGTTGGAAACTTTACTTCTGTCACTGATGATACTGCTTGGGTGTTTGGCATTTTAAGAAGAGAAGGAGTTGTAAGTGGAACATCTAAAACCATTGTGTTTAATAAACTTCTGAAGGACCGTTTGCTATTTGTGTCAGACAATTACAAGCGTGGAGGAAAAGTTTCATGCTATTGTAAATATAGACAAGAAAGTATATTAAGTATGGGAATGTAAAATTCTTTGTTAAGGTTTCTTGTGAATGTTCTGATTCATGTGCATGCCCACCAACAAAGTAGTACTTATCTGTAGTAAAACCAGTGTCTGTGATTCCCTTTCAAACTGAGTCATTGTCTTTTAATCATATTTTTAAGTGTAATACTAGTGAGGTACCTGATACATTTTTTAATATTGATGTTATTGATATCTATGACTTACAGACTGTCATGTACAAATTAGATTGCCTAGGTGTAATACCACCCAACAAATTTGATATGGAGTGACTGGTTGTAAATAAACTTCATGACACTGAAATCCAAATCCGTGGTCGTATGTCAATCACATTTCCCCTTCTCGTCGTGCCCCCGGCAACAAACGACAACGAAACTCCGAAAACCGCGCAAGCAGCGCAAACCTGCAAACCGAGCAAAACAGCGGGCCTGTTCAAACCGCGCGACGCGTGGACGGAATAATGATGACGTTACGGTTTTGGCGAGGCGATGGCGAGGTGAGGGTAATCTGGCAACGATGCGCTCTGCGCCCCCTGGATTTGAAGTAGATTTGTCGTTATTTTGTCTTAAATATGTACCCTTTGACCACCAAAAATCGACAAACCTATTACAATTTCACGACAAACGCAATTGTCGTGGGTTTTTCGTATTTTTGCCGTTATTTACTGCGTATATTTGTCGTTATTATGCAGTAAATTAGTCTTTCGAAAAACGACAACTCTACGACACATCTATCCTTTTCAGCTCTACACGGGACGGTATGCAACAGCTCGATACGTAAAAATTACAGACGAGTCGACGGACAACTCGTGGACATGTCGGCGGACATGGCACGAACATCATGATGCGCAAAAAAATGTCGATGGACAACTAGCCGACAATTCTACGGATCAGTCCTGCGGACTAGTCCGTAGACATTTGGTGACGTACAGATGTATAGACAGCCAAGCCAAGCCATGGTGGACAGCTGCGAGGGGGCCACCACTTCGATTTAGGATGTACCCAGGATTACGTGATTACAGTACGATTACACGTGAATTTTGAAGGGATTACACATGAGTTTTGTTGAATTTCTGTCTCTTATATCATTAAATTTGGATAACAAGGTGAAATTTAGTGATAATTTTCAGAAACGGATCATGAAAGCAGATGATACCAAGTCAACAATTCTATTCCAGTATATAATATTTCTGTTCATTTCTATAAAATTGATGCGCACCGTTCAAAAGCCAGAGCTGTACGCCGACCTGCCCGAGCTCAGAGACCGGCGATTGCGAATCCGGCTACTTGTACCACTTACAGCGCAATAGTGCAATGTGTCAAGTTGCACCCCATATCTCTTGCCCTACCCCCGCGTCGTTGTATATATAAGTTTAGCAGTCGGGGCGAAGCTACCCCCCCCCCCC